GTCAGGAGCGCTGCCGGCTTGCAGCCTGGTTGCTGGGCAACTCAGCAAGCTCACCTGGACCTAGTGAGCGCACTCCAAATGGTTGTGTTTCCTGACGGGGCTAGGGAGCCAGCGGTTTGTTTCGGGAGGCTGCTCAAGGCGTAATGAGCCTGCAGCTGCTCTCGCTTCCACTTCCTGCTCCAGTCCTTGCTCCCAACCCAGTTCCTGCTGCACCCCCAACCTCTCGGCTCCCAGCTCTGACTCTCGGCTCCATCCCGAACTGTGATTCCAGCTCACCCTTCAGCTTAGGCTTGACTTCTGACTCCAGTTCAGTGCGATTCCTGGATCTATGCTTGTCATCACTCTCACAATCACCAGGCGAGATCCCGTTCCACCCACTAGCTAGGCTACCCATGCTCCGGGAGGCCAAAGAAATTCACCTTGCACTTGGACCAGAAGGTGGGTGGTTCTTGGCTCCTTGGGGAGTTCACTCCGTTGTCTCCCGCACAGGCGAACTCTGCCCGTGTAGAGCGTTTCCATATTGCCATTGGGGCACATGCAGAGCAGTCGTTAAAGGAGGACCTGACACGCTGGTGGGTGATGCACTGGCAGTAGGCTGATGCAGTGGTTGCTTCTCTCTCTAACTTGTGAAGCAGCCTTCGCTGTATTTCACGTGCACTTGCCCTTTAATCAGTCCATTCCTCCGATGGACGTGTGGCGATAATGATTATTAATCGGATCCGCGTCGCCCATGCAAAAACTCGAACCAGCATCGGGATCCAGCTTCCCGCGGTTAAGAATTTAGTGTGGCCTTCAATTCTTTTCCTCCCCAGGCCGGCAAGGCCTGCTCTCATAAATCACATCTGGAATGTGCTCTGCTGTCAAACGATGGGTGTGGTCCCAGGAGAAAAGCTGGTGCGAGTATAAATTGAAGACTACATAGAGGCTGCATTAGAAGCCTCGCATAGATCTTCCTGTCACAGCTTATAAAAACATCCCCCTGTTGTATATTGCTAAGACTCCTTGCAGCATGTAATGCCCTGTACCTTGCTTCATTAATCTTGTCCGGTTTACAATAGCATTAGCGCCTTGTATTGTGTAAGGCTTGGATGTGGGGGTGGGAAGAGGGCGTCTTGCATCAAAGGATCCCTTTACAGAATGGAGGGGAAGGGGCTTCTGTCCCTAGGGTCTCATCAAGAGCGAAATTCACTGTCGTGGGAGGTGTTGGCTGTAAGATGCTTTGTAAATAAGATCAGTAGCTTCTCCAGACTGGATCCAAGTTATAAAAAGCGGGGGCTTGCGGATACTAAGAGCCCCGGTGAGCCCATTGGGATGCTCTTTGACAAAATACGGGGCACCATAACGGAGTGCTTCAGGCAAAGCAACATTCCTGTATCCTGAAGGGGCTGATGAAAACTTGTGCCAGCCAAGACAGTCCAAGTTAATACTGAACTCCTGCCTTGGGGCGAGGTGAATTCTTTAATGCCAGGCCGTTTGTGTGACACATGAAAGGATAGGATAGGGGACTAGCCTGGGCCATGGGAGGCCTGGGTTCAACCTACAGGTTACCAGCAGGATTCAAACCTGGAACCTGCAGCAGTAAAAGAGAGCCGGTCTCCTGCTTGAGCTAAAGGAGTAACTCCAATAACTGGTAGTGGCAGGAGACCACTATCCACTAGCAGAGGATGCAAGACACATTCAGTTAGCGTAAGTTACAATCCCTACTGGTATTTGTATTGTGGGTAATGCCTGGGAGCACAGTCGTGAACCAGGACCCCACGGTGCTAGGTGCTATAAGCAAACAGAACAAAGTGATGAGCCCTGCCCTTTATACACTAACAGAAACATGAAGTGAGATAATGGCCTTTATTGGACTAATTTCTGTTCAATAAAAGGGATTCCCTCACCCAGCTTGTCTCTCTAATATCCTGGGACCAACAGGGCAACAGTTACATTGCATTATGCACTAATAGGAACAAGTGTCCTAGGGGGTATCTTTATTGCCCCGTCTAGGTAGTTGAAGCTCTTTGGGGCGGACCCAGAGCCCAGATCTTCAATGGGAATTAGGTCCCTAAATCTCTTCGAGACTCTCTGGGCCCAGGTCATTGTGTCTTGCATGCTGCACTCAGAAGGCCAGCAACGCTTTACGAATAACAGAAAAAGATCTGGGTTCTTGCTCGGGAGATCTGGGGCTGTGGTTTTACGGTGACGTTTTCAGTCTCTGACGGGTTCAGAGTGGGTTGGACGGAGGTGGTGGCTCAGTTTACTTTAATGTAGCAGACTTTTGGGGTCGTGTTAGAAACGGACAGAGGGGCAAAGGTCCCACCAGCTGCTTTAAGTGACTGACACTTGCTGCGCGGGGAGAGGGGGAGGCGAATATTAATAGTTGAGGCATCACTCCGACACCCACGTGTTCAGCAGCTAATGAGCTTTACATGCACCGAAGATTTGCTGCGTTCCCTCTGCCGGCTCACAGGCTTCCCTTTCTGCAAACAACTGCTCAGAAACTCTTGCATAAACCCTGAAGGAAACAGCTTTGAAAGGGGATGGATCTCTGTGCTGTGTCAATGCACCCACTCCCTTGATGGCTTTACAGCACAGTCTGCTGCGCTGTATTGTTGAAGAAAAGGAGATTCCAGTGCCCAGCTTAACAAAGGATCATCCATAATAACTAGCCTGGCTGAGTCCCTGAATGCACCCTTCTCCATGGGACCTCATCAGGGGAGCTTTGCCATGCAAATGTCTGGAGGCTTGCTGCTGTTCTAATTGCTGCTGCTGTTAGATGTAGGGTAGTAGCACCCAGCTGCCCCAGTCGGGGATCAGGGCTCCATTGTGCAGGGAGCTGTACGTGCATCTAACATAAGATGCTTCCTGTCCCAAAGAGCTTACAGTTTGGATATGTTGATTTCTGTCCCCTGTCTTGGTAATTGGGATTGTCACATAATCATCTGGCGCATTTGCCATTAAAGAGACAAGGTGGGTGAGGGCATCTCTTTTATAGGACCAACATCTGTTGGGGAGAGAGACAAGCTTTCGAGCTCCACAGAGCTCTTCTGCGGGTGTCAGCTCACAAACCACAGAAGTCGGTCCAATAAAAGAGATTCCCTCACCCTCTCTAATACCCTGTGACCAACAGTGCTGCATACGGTTAAAGGTGTGTGTCTGCCCAGGGCTTGCTTTGCTGACTGCACAATCTGGAACCGTTTCCAGTTAACCTACCGTCTTTCCGTCTCTTTAAAGCCGCAACGCAGCTGCAGGTCATGACATGCTTGCTGCCTATTCTTGGAGAGGAAGCATTACTGCTCTTCACCTAAGCTGTGCAAAGTGTGTGCGAGGAGAGCATGTTAATTACAGAGAGCAGGGGTCATGCCACGGTGCTTCAGCTGTTAATGTAGATCAGCTCTGCCAGCAAGCACCAAAATGTTAATGGCTGCCAGGGCTACTGCACCCGGTGATGTCCCACAAAGCCGGGCAGCAGAATGGCTTTCGCCTCCTTCCAAAGAAGGACTTGATTGCATATGGGACTGAGTGCTGTGGCCCCGATCCTGCTCCGATTCTTGCAGCTAAGCCCGTTCTTACGGTTGGGGATTTCAAATCCCTACGGTAGTCAGGCGCCCGACTCCTGAATTGGATTCCCTTGTCGTTTAGGCACCTAACTCCATGATGCTCCAGCCGAAGAGCCTGGCAGAACTGAAGCCCAAATGACTGCTGCCGTCCCAAGCAGACCCCAAGGCATATCAGTGCACCACACGTTCAGCCTGGCTTAGACGTCAAGCTCTGTAGGCCAGGGGCTGTGCTGCCCCTCATACATCATCAGCCCCTAACACGCAGCTGGGGATAACCACCCCCACCCCCCGCCTTGTATGAGGTTTCTGTGAGTCTCTTGGAGCGGTAACCTGCCGTTGCCAGAATGGACCAATCTGATGACGTTATCCCGGGAGCTCTCTATGGTCCCCATTACGATAGCATTGTCACCCCTCCCAATCTGTACAGGCTTTATTCTCCCAGCCCTCCGGTGAAGTGGGGCATTATGGGAACCGTTAGTCCCATTTTATAGATTGTGATCTGAGGCACGGAGAGGCTAAGTGACTTGACCGAGGTCACATAGCAAGTTTGGTGGGTCTCGCCCACATGTTCAGGGTCTAATTGATCACTATATTTGAGGTCGGGAAGGAATTTTCCCCCAGGTCAAATTGGCTGAGACCCTGGGAGGGTGGGTGGGGGGGTTCGCCTTCTTCAGCAGCACGCAGCACGGGTCACTTGCAGGTTTAAACTCCTGTAAATGGTGGATTCTGTAACTTCAAGTCTTTAAACCATGATTTGAGGACATCAGTCACTCAGCCAGAGGTTAGGGGTCTATTTCAGGAGTGGGTGGGTGAGGTTCTGTGACCTGCGATACGGAGGAGGTCAGACCAGATGATCACAATGGTCCCTTCTAACCTTACAGTCTGTGAGTCTTCCAAGCCATAACAACCAGCTTAACCACTGGGCCACGTGGTGGAGACGCAGGTAAAGAAGCATGTGTTCACCTGCAGTTATCTCCTCTTCCCCCTTCTAATCACCGCTCCAAACCACAGCCATGCGAATGGTTCAAAACTAGCAAGTATTGCACGCTTCAGTGTGGCCATGCCTCGAAAGGGAGCAGCATTTATAACCCTAGTCGCTTAGCTGGAAAACCTAGAAGCTAAAGGAAACCGGGTGGGTGAGACGGCGACCTGGCTGCGTTTCAGGACTCCGCTGTGTGCAGCCTCCCCGTTTCACCACCTCCTCTGCTCACCAGCTGACCCAGCAGTGGCGCTGATGTGTCTCTCATAATAGATGATCTGCCGTGTTTCCTACCTACTAGGCCAAGTGCCATCCAGTGTGTTTAACTTCCTCCGACACGGGGCGGGCTGGGCAGTGCAGAGCCAGGCTCTCTGGGCCCCTCCCTACGGGGGACGCTCTGACGTGTGGGTGTTTGTCATGTTCTCCCACCCCGGGTGCCTTGCGAGTGATCTCTTCTCTTCCTTCTCTGTGCACAGTTGTACGAGCTGGATGGCGATCCCAAGAGGAAAGAATTCCTGGACGACCTCTTCAGCTTTATGCAGAAGCGAGGTGAGCCCTGCTGTATTGTCCTGGCAAGCTTGCACTAATGCGTGTGTGTGGTCCCTCGCCACCTCAGGTGAGATTCAGAGCTCGATGAGCCCCAAGTTTTATTTTCTTGCTTAATATTCTTGCCTCAAGGAGAAAGCTGTCACCGGCCTAATGTTTAACGTGAACCACTCCGCGCATGGGGATCAATCCTGCTGCATTGAAATGGGTGGCACCTCTGTCCCCACTGACTGACTTTCAGTGGAGCAGGATTCGGCCCCTTGCTCGAGTGGCTTTGCTTTCTTGACTTTTCATCCTTTGGGTCTCGTTTTATCAAAGCCCTGCTTACGACTGTGCATCGCAGTTTGATAGTCCGCCATCACTGCTTCTGGGCAAGCGCCTCTCCCTTCTTAAATGGGATTTGTTTCCTTATTTCCCACCCCGTGGTAACAGAGACCCTTGCCTGCCATGCACGGATGCAGCATCCTTCATCTGGTCACTGAGCAGCAATTTGCTTCCATTGTCTCTTCTGCCCATCTATCCCGCTGTGCATCTCTTAATATTTTTGAGTGGATGTGATGCTGCATCAGAAACTTTGCTACCAGGGTTGATAAGTGCCTGCTAGAATCCCTTTTCCTCCCTTGCAACTTTGCTCCATGGGTAGAATCCACAATTTCCAGCCGCTCCTTCAGAGCATTGATGTGCTTTTCAAACTTGCCCTTGGCTTGCAAGCAGGGAGCTGGTGCCTTCACACTGAGCAATAGCAATGAACTGAGTCAACACAGCAAAGCGACTTGGTGGCAAACGCTGTGGAGTGGACGAAAAATCCGGGCCAATTATTCTCAAAAGTGACTAGAGATTTTTTCGTGCCTCCTTTTTCAGAAGTGCTAAACTGGCCACTCTCTGAAAATCCGGTCCATTGAAGGTGTCTCAAGTCAGGCACCCCAAACTGCTCGTCACTTTTACAATATCTAGGCCTGTGACATTAAAGGGCACTGTCAAGTTAAGAATATATATATATATTTAATTCCTTTCTTTGATACAAAAACACCTTGGATGATTAAATCTGACAGAGTTTGAGCCATTCTAGCTCATTTTCGCCGTTTATGCTGGTTGGTTTGTTCACTTCCTGCATTTCTTCACGTGGACAGTGGAAATAGACATGCCAGTTTCACTTTGCTTATCAGGTTTGAGTGGCTTTCTTCTCCTGGCTCCTTTTGCGGGAGCCTGGCCCTGCAGCGGTTGGCTTGTTAACCCTGCTTCCGCTGGCCTTTCATTTTGGGGGGAAAAAAAAAAATCGTGGGAACCTTTCTGCAGACCGTAAAACTTCACAGCACCACAACCCCAGCAGTTTTAGTTTTTGCCAAACCCTAAATGTGGTCCAAATTTGGCTCTGCTTCAGCAGAGTAGATCTCTGCACAGGGGCGAAAGACATGCCCATTCAGTGAGGCTACTGCAAGGCATCTGCGTCACTGAAGACTCACTTAAGCTGTAAGAACAAGATCCTCAGCCCGTATAAATTAGCTGCGTTCTGCTGACCTGACCAGTATATACTAGCTGAGGATCGGGCCCCCATAGAAACCAGTGGGGTTGCTTCTATCCTACACCAAAACAAGCAGTGACCATACATGAGCATAAGCCCCCTTGAGCCCCATCTACACTGCAGAACAAGCCTTGGGGGGCGAAACTGGCCCTAGAGTAACTTCCCCACACATCCAAGCCAGAACACAGAGCAGAGCTTTAGGGTGCAGCCTTGTGGGAAGAAAATCTAGTTTTCCTCAGGACCTCAAGCCAATATTTCTGGGTTTGGGGTTGTGAGGGCCTTCCAAGACGTTTGTGTCAACATAGAACTGCTGCTGGTGCAGGAGAGAGGATCAGCAAGGATCATATGGGGAAGGGGAGGGGGATCAAGGGAAGGCTTCACGGTGAAAAACAGTGCACCGGCCCATCCTGTGTGGGATGGGAAAGCCGAGCAGGATGTCTTGTGGCACATAAGGAGAGGCCTGTGTGTACAAGCTCCGAGACACATCATGAGAACGTCCCCGTCGGTGCATGTGACTCAGTGCTGAGGGGCTGGTGACTTGCACTGAAGTAACGCACATTAGTATACGCCGCTGGCCTCTACTGGATGTAATCTGAACTGTTAGTGTGTGTGTCTTAGGCCCCAAGCTGCTCGCAGGTTACAGAGAGTCTCCTTTAGCCCAGCCTGTGCCGCTGGAGCAGGAGGATCTGAATTCTTCCCTGGGTGTCACTGTGACGTGCTGTCTGGCTGTAGCATGCAGTGTAAGGATAGCCAGGAACTCACAAGTGCCCCTGGGTTTGGGATAATATCTTGCGGGGATAAGCTAGGGCAAGTGGGGATGGAAAACAATAGACCAGCTCATGGGGGCCTGAAGTAGAACTCGAGCTTGTAAGGTTTTGGGGTCAGGGGCTGTCCTCTTGGTCCGTCTTTGTACAGCAGACTGGGACTCGTAGGTGCTCGGGTAATGCGGGGGTGAGGGAATGTTGATCCCAACTGGTTTCAAACCTTCCCCCTTGAGAGGGATGGTTGCAGGACCGAGGCACGTTGGGTGCGAGAACCCGGTCCCCATCTCACAAGCAGCAATGGGTCAGGGAGGAGATTTCCAGCCAGCCGATTCAAAAACGAGTCTGCAGCTGTGTTTACAGTGGCCGAGGGGGTGGCTGTTTGCCTCGGTGGAGGGCTCAGGTTCCCAAGGAAAGCAGATGGTGGTGCTGCTTGCGTGGGGCCTTTTGTCAAGCAGGCAGCCTCTAGGAAACGGGGAGGGGGAAAGAATCGGCCAGGCGCTTTCCCGAGTTTACTCATTCCATCCTCTGGGTCCTCTCCCAGCCCCTGGCGCTTACACAAACAATGCAGTCGGCAAGGTGTGGGCTCTCCTCGACTGGGGGAGGGAAGGGAGGAGCCCCGGCGAATGCGGGGCTGAAATCAACATGCTTCCAAGGCAGGAAAGGTCCCCTCCGGAGCCAAGTGGCTGGAATTCGTGGAGGATGTTGTTACTGTGCGCAGGAACCTTGGAAAGCTGTTCTCGGAAGCTAATTTCCCACGGAGAACGAGGATGCAGCCTTGAGCATCCGAGTCCGAGGGAAAGTTTTTTGGGAGCATAGGTGGCCTCTAAACAACAGGGCTTGTCCGTCTGACCAAGCGTCAGTTAGGAGGACAGGGTCTGATTTCATCCTATAGTAATTAATACTTGATGTAACGCTCTTCATGGGTGACTGTCAAAGCTCCTGAAAGAGCACGTTTTCCAGAGGGGCCGGGGGGGGAAACGGAGGCACAAAGTGGCTGTGACTTTCCAGAGGGTCACCCACAGGCCTCAGCCAAGCCAGGAACAGAACTCAGCAGTCCTGACTCCCAGCCCCGTGCCCTCACCACTCAACCGCGCTGCCTGCCGAAACTGCCGTGAGGAGGGTGCTGAAAGCAGACGGTGCAGATGTGTCGGCAGAATATAGTGGAGAACAATGCGAGGTGATGAACAGCCGGTGGGCAGGCTGAATTTATGTGGCAGGGGTTATCCTGGAGGGCAGATGGCTGGTCTGAGCATGAGCACTGAGCCTGCAGAGTAAATTCACGCCTCTTGGAATTGCCTAGCAAGGCTGCAGCTGTGAATGACAAGATAGAGACTCAACGCGAGACCTTTGTGTTTGACCCGCTGGGGTCTGCCCACACTGGGCCTTGCCCTGCTCAGAAATTACACCCAGGTCCCCGGGAAATATGTTTAGCCTCGTGGAGGTGCCGGCAGTCTCAACACAGCATTGCTTGTGCACGGTCAGCAAATAACAATTGTGCTTCGTGCAACGCGTAGGACAAGCATGGCTGGGGCTGATCAATGGCAGACAGCCGCCATAAGCTGCTCCCAGCAAACAGGGACCCTAACCCCTGCCCGTCAACTCCAGTGGCAGGGGCCTCTTCCGGGTTATCCGCCCGGGGATCAAAGCGAGGGCAGGGGGGCTCAGGACTGCGGTGAGAAGATGAGGGAGACATTTCAGGCCGAGCCCCTTTTCCTTGTCGGTCTGTGACTGCTTAGGTGAACTCTTTCTGCTCTGGTTCAGTCCCTGTGGCGGGCGAATGGACAGGGCCGGATTCAAGTGTAGGGACCACAGGCCCTTGCCTAGGGCCCGGGCTCCCGGAAGCATGTGATGAGGTCCAAAATCTCAGCCTTCAAGGCACCCACCAGATCATCTAGTCTGATCTCTTGTGTAGCACCGGCCGCCAGCACCTGCCCACAGACCCAGCAATGGGAATTAGGGCAAAATATTACAGCCCCCAGGAGACTAGACTGTGAGGAGCTACAGGCAGAGGATAGGATGTTCATGGTGCCCGAGGCCCCTGTAATGGCAGGGAAGCAGTTAAGTGAGATGTACCCCGATAATTCCAGCAAGTGACCCACACCCCCCACGCTGCAGAGGAAGGTGGAAAATCCTCAAAGTCATTGCCAGTTTGACCTGGGGAAAATTCCTTCCCGGCCCCACGTATGGGGATCAGTTCGACCCTGAGCCACGTGAGCGCCAGCCAGCCAGCCTTAACATTGCTTGCAATCTTAAGAGTTGAAAACAGCACCTGAGTGTATCTGACCCAGGGATGTCTGCCTGAGTCTGCAGACAGCCTGAACCAAGAGGTGGGAACTGTCCCATTCAGCCTTGCGCTGAGACCTGCTGCCTAGCCCAAGTAGGGGCAGGGCTATGGCAGGTGTGAGGGTGGGGCCATGGGAGCTAGGGACTTGGGCTGCAGGCTGGCTGCTGTTCATGAGGGTTCAGAATAGCCTGGGGTCCTCTGAGACCCTCCCCAGTCATCAGGTTTCAGAGCCTGAGCTCCAGCCGCACCCTGAACATCTACGCTGCAATTTTTAGCCCCGCGTGTCCAAGTCAGTTCACCCAGGCTCTGAGACTCGCTGCCACGGGTCTGTTTTGGCCGGGTAAACGCACCCCGGAAGCCCTCGGCTCCTGGTTAGGGCCAGAATAAGTGACCAGATTTTTAAACGAACATGGCATGTTCTTTTGAAAATCTGACCCGTAAGGTTAAAACACTGAGCTAAGTCTCAGGAGATCCAGACTTCATTTCCAGCTCTGCCAGAGTCTCCCTGTGTGACCTTGAGCAAGTCACATAATCTTCCTTCCCCGTCTGCAAAATGAGGAGGATGAGCCTGTTCGATCTTGTCTGTCTAGACTGCAAGCTCTTTGGGGCAGGGGTTCTGCTCTTGGTCAGTGATGGGGCCCCGATCTCTTACGGCCTCACGGTGCTACTGCCGTATAAATAATCTCTGTTGCTGACAACGGCTACAACTGAACAAGGGCTCAACCGTGATCGGCACCATTTCAGTAGCTGTGGTTTAACAACACCCCCCTCCCCCCCCCCCGGCCTGTTTCCCTTCTTCCGGGTAGCGGCCATAAATTAGCAGCATCACCACAGGGTGGGGATTTTGTTTCCTGGTTTTAAAAAGGCAATAAATCAATAACGGAAGAGGCGGGAGAGGAGACATCCTCATTGGCTTCCCCCAACTTCAGACTTTGCCACCTCCCTCCCTCCCCCACCCTTTGCACCCTTCCCCTCTACAATAAACCAGAGGTCAAGACCCCCACTCCCCCACCCCGGCTTGTCTGATTGAATCATTGGCATGATTCTTCAGGCAGCTATTGATGAATGGATGTATTATAGCCCAGCCCCCTCCCTGAATATATGTGGTCCCTCTGTCTCTTTGTATAAACATCCTGTGTCCGTGTTCCCCCCTCCAGTCCCCCCCGCTTCCACTCTCGGCCCCAGCTCTGCGCTAAGATGGGAGGTTCAGAATGATACTGGCTGGAACTAGGTGTTTGCTAAGTGTAGCATTAAAGCTGGTCACGTGACTTATTGCCCACGATTGTTCTATGGGTGGGGAAATTTATCCACAAACCGAGAGAGAGAGAGAGTGTGTGTGAGAGAGAGAGTGTGTGTGTGTGTTGTTTGGCTGTCATTGTGGTGGTGGTTTTTTTTCTTTGATAAATATCTGTTCACAATTGCTCAGTGGATTGTTTTTTTCCAGCTTCCGACGGGGGCCTGCCCCTGTGTTCGTAGCATGCCCCTTCAGAATTGGCTAGTTCAATCCAGGGACCACCTGAAGTTCGATTCTTAGACCGGGCTCTTCACCCTAATGTCCGAGCGCCTTCCAGTCGTGCATGCAACTGACACCCCTCCCATAGTGGCTGTGACGCGTGGGCAGTGAAGTTGGTCGTTTTGGGGGTTTTTTTTTAATACACGCGTTGCTCTGTGTCGATGGTCGCGACGGCTGGTCACAGATAACACGCCTGGCGCTTGGCGTGGAAGGTGGGGAGGTTTGGGATGGGCCGTTGTTCCTGGGGCAGCTTGTGCCACAGTCCGGGACCAGCCACCGCAGACATTCCGTCTCTAGCACAGCTGGCTCGGCTGCCGGCCCGACTGGACGACGTAAGACCAGCGTCTAGTGCCAGGATGCCCTTTGGCGCACGAAGGCCCAGCCCTGCTTGCGCTGGGCTGGATTCCACCCATCATGCCAAGCTGTGAGGAGCTGGACTTAGTGCATGGAGAGACCGAGGGCTGGGCTGGGGCGGGATCCTTCCCCTGGTGCCCGTGCACCATAAGGCAGCAGCCGCGCTCCCACCCAGCTGCTGCTGCAGCCTCGGGATAACAGTGCCACATCCTTGGGATCGGGAGTCGCTGGTTGGCCCAGGTTAGCCACATCCCAAGGACATAATCCAAACCCCAGTAATGTCGCGGGCAGCTTTCCCCCCCTGACTTCCGTGGGCTTTGGATCAGGTCCCCATTCTCCTTCCCTCCCTTGCGATGAGCCGGGATACAGCCAGGCGCCAGGGAACTAGGTTCAGTGGCATGCAGAGGTTGGGGATCCCTTGCATGGGGTCCTAGAGTCATCCCCCCCAGGCCTTTTGCTGAGGGCAGGGGCCTCTGGCTGCACAGGGGCTGGGGCAGCTTCAACCCCTAATGTTGGAACCACGTGGTCCATCCATCGCGGACTGTAAGCTTGGTGGGCAGAGACTTGCATGCAATGTTGGCACTCAGCCCCCCCCTCCCCCTTTGCGTAGCCCTATGGGGCGAGGGGGGGAAGTCGGTCTCGGAGCCCCATCCAGCCCTAGGGCCCCAGCTGCCATTGATACACTAATGATGTGGGGTCTGCAGAGACCCCACTGTAAGCACTGGCTTGCGACCATGTGAGTCTGATCCAGATTGAGCTCCCTGCACCTCCATGGTGTCAGAAGGAGGCATTGGGCTGAGGTGGGCTGCAGAGTGGGGACTGCACTCTCTAGGGGAAGCCCCTGTACGGCTTACCTGATTTCTCATATCATATGACTGAGACCGCCTTGCCCATCTCGTTACATGCGCACACACGCATCCTGCTGTGTGGTGACCGCTCAGGGTCCCGCTGGCCTGGATCTCCCAGGGCAGGTGTGGGGGGAAACCTAGCGCCGACCTGCCTTTTCTAAGCCCTCGGAAGGCAAACCCCACGGGCCTGATCTGAAGTCCACTGGATTCACTGGAAAGGTTCCCATTGGCTTTGGATCAGACACTCTTTGCTCTGCATCGTAGGAAACTGGGGAGCCAAGGGGGTTTACAGAAAACCTTTACTTTTTTAGGGGGGGCAGAGGTTGGTTTTTTCCCCTCAATGGAAACGTTTCAGTTTTCCACTAAAAAATGCAAACTTCAAACCCTTCCTTCCTCCCTTTTCTTCCCCCCTCCTGCTTTCCAGTGACAAATGGGAGAGGAGAAAGCCTGGGGAAGGGACACATTGACAAAACGACACAGTTTTGGCTTTAAAAGCTAAAAACAAATTGTGGAAACCTGGAACATTCCAAACCGAATGAAAATTTTGGTGAAAAATCTTGTTCACATTTTCTGGAGGGAGGGGGCTCCCCCGAGACTTTTTAGGGCTGTTTTTCATTGAACATTGTTTTTGAAAGGAAAACGACCAAATGTAAAAACGACCTTCTTAGACAGTCAGCTCTATGGCAGGGCCCTCCCTTCTATGTTGTGAGGCTCACCAGACACATTATTATTAGTATAACCGTAGTACCCAGAAGCTGCAGTCCTAGTCCAGAGCTGCATTGCGCTAGGCGCTGTACAAACACACCACAAAGCGCCAGCCCCTCTCAAAAGAATTTACAATCTACTTAGAAGAAAGAAATGGATGAAGCTGGGGTGGGGAGAGCACAAGAGAACAGTGAGATATCATAATCTATTCCCTATAATGGTATGCATCCAGTTTTTATAATAGACACATCCTTAAAGTATCCTTGGACTGACCCTGATCCCAGGATCTTTATCAGGAATGAAACTGACTCTCCTGCAGTTTTCGGCCTCTCAGGGCACTGGGGGCTGGGAAGGTGGGGGACCCTCTGTAGCCCTGTTCAGGAGAGTGAGACTCTCGGGGAAAGTTTGGGGCTCAAGCCTGGTTAGCCCCAAGTCTCCACCTTGGAGTGGGACCGCAGATTTGAAGGTATTGGCCCATTGGCCACCTCCAGCCCGGCTCAGAGCGGGGTGTCAGCTGTGATCCCTTGAGGGTTTTTAAATCCAGCTCAGCAGAGTAGTCGGGACCTTCCTGTCTGTTGCACAACAGTTTGGTGTCTCGTGCTCTGGGATGGTGGCGTCTGTCTCTTCCGCTCTCTGAGTAATGCCCTCGTCCTCTTAAAAGCCCCATTGCTGGGCTTTGGTTGCTAGTGCCACCTGCTGGACACGACCGAGCCGGTGTCCTTAAGCTCCTCTCCCTGCACTGGATGTGCAGAGGAGCTGCTGACGTCTTAGGGCGAGGATCTGGGGAGAGTGACGTGCATCTGACGCTAATGCAAAGACAGAGCAGTGGAAAACGGCCAGAGTATCCTGGGCGGGGAGGGTTGGGTTTCTCTCTCCATCACATCCTTTTCCTAGCCGCTGCCTAATTGCTTCTGTGGCACCTCCCTGCCCCCTACCACTTTCTAAGAGCTGTCCCTGACCAGGGCAGGGCGGCAGATAAGTCCAAGAAAATTAGCCCTTCAAATAGGCAGTGGGGTCTCTATATCGGCCCAGTCCAATATGCCAGGCTCCTTCAAATGTGTGCATGACCGGCCGCAGCCCAGCAGAGCAGGGGCAGGGCTGTGAATAAAAAAATGTTTAAATAGCACCATGCAAATATGCAAACCCTCCCCCACCCACAATTGGATATCAGCCAGGCATGCTGGAAAGGGAGCTGGTTTTGTTCCTGTGCTAAGCACAGATGAAACGGTCAGTGGAATTTAGGGGACCTTTCCATGCTGCTATGAAAAGGATTTTCTTCAAAAATGTGTCCCAGGCACACTTGGGATAAAGATCATCTTGTCTGAAGGACAAGGTATTTCCTTCCTCACGGTAATCACACATTATAGTCGATCCCGGAGGCCCCAGCTGAGATCATGGCCCCATTGTTCTAGCTGCTATACATACATGTTGTTAGGGACAGTCCCTGCCCTGAAAAGCTAGAAAGGCAAAGGGGGGGGGGAAACTGAGGCACAAAGCAGGGATGTGACTTGTCCGAGAGCTAGGGATGCAATGCAGGGTTTGTGAGTCCCAGTTGTACCTCGCTCCTACGTTTCATTGCCCCTGGCCCAGCTCTCTCCAGCATACTGACCTTCCCCACTCCACAGGGACCCCCGTCAACCGAATTCCCATCATGGCCAAGCAAGTGCTGGACCTTTACATGCTCTACATGCTGGTGACCGAGAAGGGGGGCCTGGTGGAAGTGATCAACAAGAAGCTGTGGCGGGAGATCACCAAAGGGCTCAACCTGCCCACCTCCATCACCAGCGCTGCCTTCACGCTACGCACTCAGTAAGTGTCGTGGGATCCGGGGGAGTGGGAGGGTGGGAGACCGCCCTGCCCTTCCAGCCAGCTGGCCTAGTGTTCGATCCCAGATTCCCACAACGATGGGAGATCCCAGCCACGGTTCCTTAGTACAGCAAGGGCTGGAGGTGGCTGTGGGGGGAACAGCTACTGTGTGTTTAAGGGGTGTCACTCAGCCACAGCCCATCATGGGGCTGATCGTGTGGGATGCTGGGCTCCCTCCCCGTTTCTGGGATTGCTCTGCTTCCTGTGAGATCCGTTCTCTCTTCCCCACCCCAGATAGAGAAAGGGATGTCTGTAGCCAGAGGCTGATCTAGACAAGCCCCTCTTAAGGAGTCCTGGTTTGGCTGATGCAGGACAGAGCATCAGTGTTTCCAAACCTCCTGTTTCCAGTGCCCAGCTGGGGAGGGGTTGGGGCTACAGAAATCCCTTTTTCTTGAAGGCAAGATCCTCGGGGCGTGGAGGCGGCACGGCTCTGGGGAAAAGGCGCCTCTGGATCGATACCGACAGGCACCCATGTTAGCTGCTGGCCTGTGGGAGCTGCCTCCTCGGTGGGCGGGCTGGGAGGGTGCCTGGTGCCGCGGGCTGAGCAGGTGTTTCCTCTGGCAGATACATGAAGTACCTGTACCCCTACGAGTGCGAGAAGCGGGGGCTCAGCAACCCCAACGAGCTGCAAGCCGCCATCGACAGCAACCGGCGAGAAGGCCGCCGGCAGGGCTTTGGGGGCTCCCTCTTCACCTACTCCCCCAGCGGCACCCCCAGCCTGCTCTCCTCCCCCAAGCTGCAAGTGCCTGGCTTGGGGCTGGTGGCGGCCACCAACGGCGGCCCCATCGGCCCTGGGCAAAAGATAAAGAAAGGTAATGGCTTGGCTGGCGCCCTGCTTGGCATGAAGGGGCTGGGCCATGGGCAGCGGGCTGAAGCCGGGTGCAGGGGAGGGAGGGAGTAAAGGCCTCAGGGTCTGGCTCCGTTAGCTAGAGCTTTTCACCCCATGGTTTCAGAGCCCTCCGGAGAGGGGAGTTAATAACATTCCTATGGCACTCATGGGCAAATGATGGCAAAGCAAGGGATTAGAACCCATAAGTCCTGATTGCCAGTCCCCCAACCCCTGCGCTCTAACTACTAGACCCTGCTCTCCTCCAAGAGCTGGGAATAGAACCCAGGAGTCCTGGCTCCCAGACCTGTGCTCAGTCCACGATACTACACTGGCTCCTTTACATGGTGTCACTTTAATGTCAGAATCTCAGAGCAATTTATAACCATTAACGGAGCCATAGGGATTGCTCTGCTCACCGACCATAAAATAGGCCAGGATTATCCCTAGTCTACCACTGGGGAAACTGAGGCAGAGTGTGGGGAAGTAACTCGATCCAGGTCGTACAGGAAGGCAGCTGGGACATAGGTGCCTTGATTCCCAGCCCCCTGGGCTAACCACTAGTCCTCAATGCCATGCCCGTGTGAATCAATGCAGAACACTTGTGAAAGGAGAGTACCATACAAAGGAGCCATCCCGTACCGCAGCAGGGAGCTGGCTGGGAAGTCTGGGTGCACGTAAAGCTTGTTTCTGATGCACGTGAAGAGGCTGGCCTGGACCAGCCCTCGCGAGCTCACGGGACTCCCGTGCCCTCTCCCTGTTGCAGAAGAGGACTCGCCGATCCCCATCCCCATGCCCAGCCGACTCCCTGTGTCCCTGGCTGGCCACCCGGTGGTTGCGGCCCAGGCAGCGGCCGTGCAGGCGGCCGCGGCCCAGGCAGCGGTGGCTGCTCAGGCCGCAGCCCTGGAGCAGCTGAGAGAGAAGCTGGAGTCCGGGGAGCCACCGGAGAAGAAGATGGCTCTGGTGACAGATGAGCAGCAGAGGCTGATGCAACGGGCCATCCAGCAGAACCTCCTGGCCATGACAGCGCAGCTACCCATGAGCATCCGCATTAACAGCCAAGGGACCCGCTCGCCAGGTGGGTCGCGCTGGGGCTGGAGGGAGAGAAAAGGGAGGCAGTCATGCTGCAGATCTTCCCCAGAGGTTAGGCTAGGGGCGCCGAGCCTGCTGGAGTAAGGCCACCCCCGTGCATGGGTCGTCGGCAGTGGGGATTGAACCTGGGACCTGATTCTTAAATGCTGTCCCTCCACTGCATGAGCTACAAGAGCTGTACCCAGCTCCCTGTCCCATGCTTGGGCCGCTCAGCCAGGCCTTTCCCCATCTCCCAGCAGGGGAAGGGCTCTTTTGCTAGCCAGAGTTTAAAAACAAGTGCCTCTTTTGTGTCGTGTCTGACCAGGTTCCTCTCTCCTCTTAGTCCTCTTCCCGCTCCCTGTACCAAAAGCATTTCCCGGCACTGTGCTGGGCCCACTTTTAGCAAATCTGAAGACCAAAACCAAAGGTTTGATTCCCCAGGGCTGGAGGCCTCTGCTTCTGCTCCTGCTGATGATACCAGACCCCTAGACCAGCCTTGTCCGTAGGGCTCGCTTTTCGTTCTGCACGTCCGTTTTCCCACCCGCTGGTTTCCGTGTGTCCCTGCTGCCTGTCTGATAGGAACACAGTAACATTTAAAGGCAGACCTGGACGCTAAATCCGCCATCTGTAAATGGAGAGGGATTTTTTTACCATCTCTGTTAATAGCCGAGAGGAAAGGATTTGGGGATGGCGTCAGCAGGGTTCTGTGAGCCTGGCGGGTCAGGACGGTCTTTGTTTTGACTGAGCAGTTTGTTTATCATCTGATTTATCCTGCTGCAGAAAACCGTCAGGACCCCGGCATGAGCCTGTCCAACAACGGCACGAACAGCATCAGCATGTCAGTGGAGATCAACGGCATCGTCTATACGGGTAAGAGGAACGCGGCCAGGTCTCCGTCTCTGCCTCTTGCTTACCCACTCCCCAGCCCCCTGCTGGCCCAAAGAGTCTGACACAGCAACACACGGGGCTGCTGGATCTCCCTGGTGAGCGTATTAACGTGTCACCCCAGTAGCACCGAAGGGGCCCATCGTGCTGGGTGCTGTACAAACCCAGAGCAGGCTGTCTGATCAGAGCCCAGGCTCTGGTCTTACGGTTCCTATTCTGCAGTCCCTTCCCAGCCTTTCCGGGGGGGATTGATCCGTGCCGGATGCTCCTCTCCCTTTGCAGGCTTTCGGTCCTGGCGTTTGGGAGGTAGTGACTTGCCTCTCCGTGTCTCGCTGCCCTTAGACAATGTGCTTCCAAACTCTTTCCTCTAGGGACAAAGACGCTTGCAAGTTATTTTCACGAATCGGCACCACTGTGGTAGTATCTAGACACCTAGCGAGAGCTGGTCCCTGCCCTGAAGAGCTTACAGTCTAGGTAGACATGGTTGCGAGGGGAAACAGAGGCCCTGTAACTAGCTAGGAATAGAGCTGTGGGCTCATAGGCCAGGGCCCTAAGCACTAGATCACTCCTCTCCAATGAAACTTAGCTGCTTCTTGCAGCGTTTCTTGCCCCTTCCTCTGAAGCCGCTGGCCGTTGACCGAGACGGATGCTGGGCCGGATGGATCACTGCTTTGATCCGGGCTGACGGTTCCTATGTATCAGGGCGCCATTGTCCCAGCAGGGGCGGGGAGAAAGGAAGGAGCGTTCTCCCCACTTCACAGCTCGGTTCCCGCTGGAGTTAGGAGCAGCCCCCCACGAGCCTCTCCCTCTTGTCTCTCCCCCAGGTGTGCTGTTCGCACAGACCCCCGGCCCCTCGTCCTCCTCGCTCCCTTCCTCCGCCTACAGCAAAGGAAACAGCAGCAGCCGGAGCAGCAGCAGCGGCGTGGGGGGCAGCAGCGGTGTCTCCCAGGCTGCCCCGGCTGGTTTGTCGGCCCCTCCAACCTCTACCTCCAATAACTCGTCTTCGCCTTAACTCCCCCCCCCACCCCAAACGGCAGCGCCTCATCTCACCAAAAGACAAAAAAAACCCCAAACCCACCCACACGTGGAGCTTCTGTCACAGCTGGCGCCAAAACCCGAGCTTGCATCTGGCTTCCCCGGGGGGTGGGGGGAGGAAGCCCCATTTCCCCCTCCTCCCGAGAGGACTGGAGAAAGTTTTGCAAGGAGAAAAGCTTTAATCCAGGGAGTTTCATTAAAAGCAGCCTGGACTCTGAGCCAGTCATTACCCGGTAGCTTTGGAGGTGATGCACCGTTCCCCGCCCCCAGAACTCTTTTTACCTCATGGACACCCCACTTTGCACTGTGCGTTTGTTTTCTAATGTTGTTGTGTGAAGTTGTGTTCTTTTGGATACCTCCAGGCAGACACACAGTCGCACCGACGCCCACGGGCTTGTGTTTTTAATGAAACCTCCCCTCCTTTCCTTTCCTTTCCTTTCAACCGAAAACAAAATTTGCAAAAGCGGGAGGAATTTTTAGTCCTTTAAATCTTTTTTCATTATTATTTTAAGAACTACACTCAAGCTATATGGCATTTTATGAGGTGGTTAGTTGGATCTTTTTTTTTTTTTTTTGTAAATAGCTTCTATTTTATTCTCTAAAAAAAAAAAAATCAAACCTTAACTCACAAAAATGAGATATATATTAGTGTTCGTTCAGGGAAACAGGACTTGGAAAACTTTGTAACCTCTTTTTCTTGTGGTCGTCTGATGTCGATCTTTGGTCGAGTTCGATCCGCGCTACTTTCTTTCGAACGCTGGGGACACCCAAGGTTCGGGAGAGAGCCAGGGTGACCCCAGCGAATGAGCTCAGGTGTTTGTATGCAGGGGGAAATGGGGGGCGGGGCGGGGGGGGCCAAGCAAGCTCCATTTGGAGATTCTTAGGGTTGAAGTGTGTAGTTGATCTGCAGTTATTAGGAGACGGTTTTGTAGAGCTGCCTCACTGGGAAAAGTCTGCGTTTCTAGGATCCGTTTCCTTCAGCGATAGAGGTAAAGGGGTTCGATGCCACCCCTTCAGACTCTCCGCTCCACTCCACAACTAGCTGTTGGACCCTGGTCCTCTGGGGGCTTGATCTGATCCGGACAAGCACTTACGCGCCTGCTGGGACTTCAGGCGTTAGCCTCAGAGAAGCCGAAGGGATTACTCACCTGCTCCCAGTTAAGCAGGTGCATAACAGCCGTGCTTTGGATTAGGGCCAGAGCGTGCAGCCAAGGGCATAAGGCGGAGCTGTCTGCCCAGCCAGCCTGCTTGGTTCGGGTCCTGCTTCAGCAAAGCCCGTCCCGCTGGCCTTAAGGGGACTGCAGCAAACGCTTTACAGTTTCGGGTTGAGTGCCGTGTGGAGGGGGCTGAGCGCAGCGGGGGGAAGGCAGTCCCTGTGGAGGTGTCTTTGCTTTACACCTGTAGCCCGCGGCAATGACACACTTGCCCTGGCTGGCAGGAATTCTTCGGGCATAACCCGAGGGGCAGCAAAGGGTACGATTCAGGCTGGTAGGCTTTGGAGGCAAAAAACAGAGAGATTTTGCATCGCCAGACTACCCGAGTTGTTCTTCCCATCCCCAGTCCAGAGCACCCTCCGCCTTCCCAGATAGTCAGAGCATAGAGGAGAGTCCTAAGCCAGAGGCCCCGGGCAAAGGAATCACTGGGACTTCCATTAGAGCAGCCTCCTCAGCTTCGTGATCATCCATCTGGCTGCGTCGTGTGCACGCCCCGATATGGATGAGAGCCAACACTTCCTTTCCCATTGACTTGTAGAAGTGGGAAGTGGATCCGTGGCGGTACATGGGCGCTGGTTGGACCTCGGGGAGTTGCAGTGTGTGGTGCCGGGAATCGGTTTGTTCAGAATCGGGCTCTGAGAAACAGCTTTTGAGCCAAGACACAGTGCAGGGAGAAAGCTCATCCCAAGTGCCTGCTGAACTCTGGGCAGGGGCCAGGCAGCCGCTTGTCTGCGGGGAGGGAGTGTGCCAGAAAATTAGAGGCACTGATCTCCCATGCTTTCTCCTGGGCAAGACCTGCCAGACTCCTAACAGGGCAGCGCAAGGGGCTGGAATCACTGAGCTGGGTTTGTTGGCCACGTGGACCTGTTCCATTGCCATTCCAAGGGTGCTGAAGGATCCCGTGTGCTAGAGAGGGCGAGGGGAGCTGCGGTCGGTGTTGTGAACGGGGGCTTCCTCCTGATCTCGAAGCTCATCCGTCTGGGTGGGTGCACACCTGTGTCCGTAGGTGTCCATACCACCTGCATGTACACCGTCAGTGGGAGAGAGGGCAGGACTCTGGCCTTCTCTGTAGCTTTTGGGAAAGCTGTGGGCATATGGGAAAAGCTGAAGCCTGGCTGTAGTTTATTCAAATCACGGAGGTGCCTGGACCGAAAGCCTGGATCCAACGCCCTGAACAATGTGGAGGTTCAGATCCAAACTCCAAAGCTGGCCTGTCGCTAGGACCTGAATCTGGGTTCCCCAGCAATCAAGCCCAGCTGCAGTTGGGTCTTTTCCTCCCTTTCCCTTTGCCTCTTTTATTCCCTCTGATCTGGACCTACCTGTGAGGGAATTAGGTTCCCAACTCCCATTGACTTGCACCTAATTCCATTTGGCTTCTTTGAAAATCCCAGGCTTAAACCGAATCAGTGGTTCAAACAGTGCTGCATCACAGAGAGGGGGAGAGAGAGGGTCCTGCTTGCGGCTGCCTGCAGTTACCTGCAACTTGGCGTCATCACCAGGGACCGGCTGGCCTGTTACGCTCACTCTGTTTTGTATTTTTCACGTGTGTTTCTTTAATTTCTTGGTGGAGGAAATTAACATCGATGACTCCTCTGCTTCCCCACCCCGCCTCATATCCCCTCCCAGGGAACCCTGTTCCCAGGGGCTTACAGTACAAGTCTCTCCCTGTAATTAGGTCCAGGGAGCATAATTTAATGAGCTCTGTGTTGTGTGCTGTGCTCCTGACGTGAGTGCGGGGGTGGGGTTATTCCAGAGGAGAAACTCCATTTTAGAGACAATCTAGGGCTTGCTGCAGAATTCATCTGTCCAGCAAGGGGCTGATGAGCCTAAAACAGCCCCAGCTGGGACATCTCCTGCAAGGTGCTGAGTGCCGTTAACTCCCACCGAAGCAGCTGCGTGCTGAGCATGCTCTGCACTTCTCAGGATCGGGCCTTAAGCGTGTGTCCTGCTGTAGCCATGTGTTTCCTCTGCCCTGTCCTGTGATGGATCATAAAGGCACCAGAGCACCCTTACCTGCATAATAGTCACTGCCCATAAAGGGCCTGATTCTGATTCTCAGCTGCTGTCACATACACCAGCGCAGAGGGTGGGCGTGAAGTGAAAGTGCTTTTGCACCGGTGTGAACATCTGCGCAAAGGGCGAAGCAATGGAATGGAGACCCAAAGCCTCCCAGCTTGGCCTCTCTTGCAACCAGCGGGGGTGGGGCGCTCTGGATTTTTTAAACATCATCTTTCCCTGCTGATTTTTGTGCTTTTCCGTTTGATAAACCGGCTCCCAACCGCCCCAGCCTGTTTTTCGAGTCACAAGCCGCTCTGACTGCCTCCAGCTCCCTGACCCCGCATATTGCCAGCAGCCACCAGCCTGATGGTTTCCTGCAGAGCAGGGAGCTAGCATAGGGAAGCTGATCTAAAGGCAAGACTACAGTGTGGAATCCGGGTTGTACATATGCCCCCCTCTCGCCCTCCCTGCTTCTTTCGCCAGAGTCTAGATACTTGTCGCACCTCGTCCTCTGCTCAGGGCTGAAACAGCAAACTGGTTCTTCGTAGGTTTCTTTTTCTTCCTTTCTTTCTTTTTTTTTTTTTTGGACAGGTGAAGAAAATAACCAGAAAAATTAGGTGTACTAGATAAAAGCCAGTGAGATTCCTGCTTCCCATCTCTCCCATCTTCCCATCTCTCTGGGTCGGCTGTAGCACACGGGGGAGGTGGGGGGGGAGAGAACGGACTGTTTCCTGATGTCTCCTACGGTGTCGCTGGTGAAAGGCAGATGTAAGGACTAGTATTTTCAGAAGGGCTCTTTTGCGGCACTGAAATAAGTGGGCAGATTGGCAAAGGAATCCAGCACGTTGGGTCGTGAGCGTTTTGTGAAAACTAAAGTTGATTAACTTGAAAATGAAACATCGGCGGTGTCCCAGTGGAAGCTGAGCTCTCGTGCTGTTCTAGCCCCGGTGGCGGGCGTTGAGCATTTGAAAATATGGCCCCACGCTCCAAGATTTTTACATCTCAGGCCTTTGGTTCTCCCTGTGCCGCTAGGCGGACGAGGGTGGGAGCCCTGCCATGAAGCATATTGTTGCAGTGATGTTTTTAGAATGTGCACTGGGATCATTTTGGGGTTTTTTTTTTAATCTCCCATCGTGAATATTAAAGAGACACCATGGGCTCTCCGCATTTCTGTCTGAACAAGTTCCCCTGACATTGCTGCGGCTAATCTGATTCTCCCTGAAGGAGATTAGAGACTGGACAAAATCCCCCTAGGTTATTTTTAGTTTGTTTTCCTTTGGGCATCTGACAGCACTTCGTGTGTGGTCAGTTTCACTGTTTTCCCCCCTCTCCGGGGCCTGAGTCAAAGCCCACTTCAGTTTCCACTGACTTTGGTCAAGCCCCTAGCTACTCAGTTTCCCTTCCTCAGGGTGGATCTTAGGGTGATGGTGAAAGCAGGGAAATTGGCAGAGGGACTGCAGAGCAGGTGCAGAACCCTCCAGTTCACTGAAATGGACAAGATCTCAAGCTGATTGTGTCCCTTCGTAAACGTTCCCTTAAAGCTCCCCTGAGTGGCTGCCTGAAACCAATGGTCACTGAACCCAGCTATTTGTGCCAGCAGACCCACCTCTCGTCTAGCCGGGATCTAGCCAGGAACTCCCTCTCCTGGAAACAGCAGGATGGTTGTTGTGACACCTAAGTTTTTTGTCATATACGGTGATTCTTCCTCTCGGGGTGGGGCTGGGAATGTTAAAGCCGTAACACGTTCCGTAGGCCAGATCGGTTTGTACCAATATCATTATGAAAGTAAGGAGTGTGACTTTTTACCGCTATAGTTCTACTGGTACAGTTCCTAGTGGGCTACAGTAAAGCCATATAAAGGTGACTTATCCCAGAAGTTGTTTCCCTTCTACAGCAAGAGCACCTTTATACCTGTGTAACTGCATCCACACTAGCAGAGTTATGCTGCTTTAACTATACCCTGTCTACCTGGGGAGGGAGGACCCCTGAAGCTGCTTAAACGTGGTGCAGAAAGAGGCTGCACTTAATCCTGTTATATGTTAAAAGCTGTCTCCCTAGCTTTCTGGTCCAAGCGTTAATCAACTTTGTCACGCAGAGAGAGAGAGGGCACCATCTGAAGTGGAGTGGAGATTTGTCCTCTTTCCCAGCCTCACTCTTGAGAGTGGGTTCCTCTCTTTTCCCTGGGGAAATGTGACCACGGCTGTGCATGTATCAGCTTTGCAGGGTACATACCCGTGATGCACAGGGTCATGTTGAGCCCTGGTATAAGTGGATGCAGCCTCTGTTGATTTCGGTGGACTTGGCATTTGCTTATGCCACGGCTGTCGTTGGTCTCCAGTGCATGCTGCAGAAGAAAAGCAGCTGCTCCGGCGTGGTGGGAAAGCATCTTTGTGAGTTGCGAGCTCTGTTCCGCTAAGTGGAATGCTGACCCAGCTGAGCTAGCCAGAGGGGAATGCTGGCGGTTCCCCGTTCCCA